TCCAAACCCAGTCCTCAATTATCCCCTACCAGTCCAGGATTTAGGGATTACCCAGTTGTGTCTAAGGTGTTTTTAGAAAAAGAAAAAACAAACACTTTTGATACAAATGGGTAATCCCTAAATCCTGGACTGGGAGGGAGTACTTGAAGACTGGGTTGGGAACCACTGTCATAGAATCACTGGATCATGGCAATTGGTGGACAGTCTAGCTGAAATATATGAAGCAGGAAAAAAGCAAAGACGGGAATGACATGCAATCAGAGGAGGAGCATAAAATCTGATCAAAGAAAAGTCCAGTAAAGGTACTTCCATTATTTTTACACTATATAGGGGAAAATTGCATTTAGTGACTGTAGGCTTACTGTTGGTGGAGGGGAAGGATATGCATTTTTTTACCTATACAGTTCCTTTAAGAATATTCTCAAATGATCAGTTCCAACACCATTTGTGAAACCTTTGTGAATTTAGAGTTACATAGAAATGATATTATGATGTATAAATGGCATTAGAATAATGGCATACTACTGGTAAAACAATTATAATGCAGTTGCTGTGAAAATACAGGTTGTAGCCAGTTTCTTTAAATGTTGCTGCCTCTCCTTTCCCATGTTCACATTTATATTCACGTACAGACACAGGAGTCGTACAATCATTATTTTTCCTCTGGATACTTCCCTCCAATTTTCTATCTGCTTCTTCAGATTCCCCCTTAACCTCTCTCCTTCTCCTTCTTTAATTGCTGCAGGGGAGAGATACCTTGTGGCAGAAGGGCCTCCTCTGTGTTTGCAGCTTTGCAGGATTTCTCCTGACTAATATCTATGAGAGCAACTAAGTAGTAAGGATGATCCTGTCCTCTGGGGAAAAAAATCTATTTTTCTAAGATTTAAGAAAAATTCTGAAGAGCAAAAATCCTCATTAATTACAGTGAAAGCAGCAATTCCAGATAGATTAAAAATTAAAAATAGAATATTTTAGAGTGTGCTGAAGGAGTTAAACAGGGTTGGGTAAATCCAGAATGCCTCACAAAAATAGACCCCGAAGTGGGCAATTTGTTAATCGATTAAGCTAAAATATTTTCCCTAACATGTTTCTCCTATATACACACTTGCCAGTGTAATTACCCCCAACTCCCCTCCACCCCCTCCGGTAAATAATTATATAGAGGAGATAGCAGTTAAGCAGCTGGATGCTGGTGTTAATTAATGAGCAGGCTGCCCATACATAATGTTTGAGCAGAGGCCATTACCACCTAATATTGCCATCAGGAAATTATAGGATGTTTGGGAGAGCAAGGGATGCTGGGAAAGCTTTTTTTTTTTTTATCACATCACGCATGGATGTGATACTCTGTCATTACGTTCTCCCTCTACTCGACCAATAGCTTCTGTCAGGTTCAGCTGCACTTTGCTGTGAAGAGCCTGCACAATTCAAATGTCTGTTTTACGATGTACTTCACAAAGTAATGATTACCAAATATTGTACATAGAATCCCATATCGTTTACAGAGTGATGTAGTCTAATGATCCATTAGTATCAAATAAAATGGTTGCAAGCTATATTTCTTCCAACAAATAACACCGCAAAGAGTAATTGGCAATTTGCATCAGTGTAAGCAGAGTAATGACCATTGCAACATTGTGTTTTGTAATAACCCAGATTTTCCAGAATTAATAAAGAATTTGACATTTTGTTCATAAAAAAAATGTATCAGTGAACATTAGACAGAAGAGAAGAAAAATAACTGTGTCTGTGTATGAATATAAATATATGTGTGTGCGTGCCTGTTTATAGATGAATATGTGTGTGTGTTTGCCTGAATGAAAAGGTAAGTGACTGGCAACTTACTTTAGCAACACACTTTGTGTGTGCTTATGTATGATTATGTCTGTATGTATGAATGTATGTATAGGCATATGGTTGTGAGAGAGAGTGTGGATAGTTATGGCAATGGTAGAGTGTGTGGTCAGAGAGTGTGGCTAGTCTGATATGAGTTGGATTAAGGAACACTCTAAGTACCATAACCACTAAATAATTGCAACATGTAACTCGGTATGCAACAATGTTGCATGTAGAGGATACTTTAGCCAAAACCTTGAACAAAGAAATATATCCTGATAAAGTGCAACAGTGTACATAGTGAAGAATACAATTATAAAGTGCTGCCAAGAATACTGAATTGCGTCCTCCAATTCAAGTGCTATTATGACCATATATGAAAAAAGTATCCCTGGTGCAAATTCAGAAACCGTGCTGTTGGGTCTTAAAAAGTGAAAGTGCAATAAAAATTGTGTATATTTACCTTAATAATAATGTATTACAGACACTTACAATTTTGGTTTAGGAGATTATAAATGAATAAAAGAGAGAGAAATCCTTGAATAAAACATAGGTATGTATATAGTGTAAATCCATTATTATAACAATGTGATCTTGTATATGACACTCACAGGATTATAAACTACCCAACTAGCTCAGTGTTGCACAGCAAGAGAGCGATTATCCCCACTTCACTACACTACAATGCAGTTTACATTAAGTACCCAAAAAGGAAGCGAGAACAAACCTCCAATATTGTGCAAAACAAGATATTTACCCCCCCCCCAAAAAAAACCAAGTGTGTTGTAATTAAGCGCTTAGAATTCTAAAAGTGAAATAGCCGCTCAAAACACTCAAATGTGGGAATACCCCTATATCTACACACAGATAAAATACAAATGTGACAAAAGTAATAAAGTGGAGAGCTAAAAACTGCAGGCCCCTGGCTCCCTGTACTTGCAGAGAGGGCCCGGCAGACTGCAAGTGTACTTACAAGCTCTTCCCACTCTGTAACTCCCGCGGCGTGAGAGCCGCGCGGAGCGTTGCCAGGTAACCCGTGGCAACGCTTTGATGGCCACGGGTCTCGCGGGAGTTACAGAGAGGGAAGAGCTTGTAAGTACACTTGCAGTCCGCTGGGCCCCCTCTGCAAGTACAGGGAGCCGGGGGGCCCCACAATGCCACCAGACCACCAGGGATCATGGTATCTCGGACACAGGTAAGAACCAGGGAGGGGAGAATAACATTTTTTGAATGCTCCATTTACACTACATGCATACACTACACTAACACACACACACACACTGCATTCACTACACTAACACACACACACTCTGCATTCACTACACTAACACACACTCTGCATTCACTACACTAACACACACACTGCATACACTACACTAACACACACACTGCATTCACTACACTAACACACACACTCTGCATCCACTACATTGACACACACTCTGCATTCACTACACTAACACACACACCCTCTGCATTCACTACAATAACACACACTCTGTATTCACTACACTAACACACACACCCTCTGCATTCACTACAATAACACACACTCTGTATTCACTACACTAACACACACCCCCTCTGCGTTCACTACAATAACACACACTCTGCATTCACTACACTAACACACACACCCTCTGCATTCACTACAAGAACACACACTCTGCATTCACTACAAGAACACACACTCTGCATTCACTACACTAACACACACTCTGCATTCACTGCACAAACAGTATCTAATACACACAAACGCTACATCCATTACACACATTCTAATTCACTTCCACTATACACACCACATTCAATCCTGCATCATTTGCAGCAGACTAGGTAGGAGTCCTGTGGGCGGACTGGTGGGCGGGCCGGGCGGTGGGAGGGCCCACACCTTGTGCTTTGTCAGGGGCCCCAACATTTCTGGTGGTGGCCCTGATCAATGCCTTTATGGTAGCATACCACCATCCATCGAGTGGGTCTCCAAATATTGGTATGTGGAAAGAAAAGAAAGAACTCCAATGGTGCAGTATATTTTACACTTCCATATATGATCTTTCTTAAAAGGTTTTTAAGCTCACCTTACTCAGAGCCCACAAATCCTGATTCTGGGATTGAAAACCTGTTGCCTAATTCAGGGTTGGCAAAACCTCAAATGGATTCCTTCTTGAGCTGAGAATCACATAAGACTGAAACTATGCAGAGTAATTTTGGCGGTTGGCGGTGTATGTAGCTCCAGAAGTTGTCGGTTTTTAAATGCTGCTGTCAAATTAAGTATCGGTCACATCATGGTATTGTAAACAATCGCTCCTTCTTTCATATCTTCCAATATGAAGCCCGGTTTATACCTGGAAGTGACGTCTTGCCCTTCGTGACACGTCACTACCGATTTTCAAGCGAGCCTATTTCTTATACCTCCTATCACACCTCTACCCGATCCATGTCTCCTCCACATATTTTCACTAATAAACGGATGTCGAGCGGGGTGTGTCCATATCCAAAAGGCTCCATATTGTTTATGGTCAGAAAAAGGCACATAGGAGAAAAACATAAATATATAAAGGGGTTATTTAATATACACAAAAAGAGATTAGTTATTATATATACACTATAACGTATTTAATCAGAGGAAATTACATAATAGAGATTGTATAGGAAGCATTAACACAATTCTATGTAAAATTATATAAAGAGAGTAAGAAATACAGGATCCCACCACAGTGTTGCAAGTGATTGCAAGGCTGTGTGGTCTATCCTGATAGCCTACTTCAGAGCTACAGAATAGGGGGTAACCCAAAATGAAATGAATTAGAGTAAGGGAGACCCCTGAAACAGGGGGATCCCAAGAGAAGTAGCTCTGGTACAGAAAAAAAGGGAAATTAGTATTTAGAAGTAAATGGAATAATAAAAGAGAGGGAGAAAGGAAAGGAAGGATGCCATATAATAATGGGCAAAAGGGATGAAAGGGGTAGAGAAACAAAATCAGAGACAAGGTAACCCCTACTCCACCCTAAACCACCCACAGCTTGCAAAAGCAGGCAATACTTGAGACTAACCAATCCAAAGAGAGAGAAAAAAAAAAAAGAGAAAAAAATCCCCCCCCTTCTCTCACAAGCAGGCTCAAATCTTGTGGGCAGTAGGGTCCTAATGAAAACCCTTACATATAAAGCCCAAAAAAAGGAGCTGAAAAGGGCCTGCCTGAAAAACCAAAATAACTAAAATACTAACTAACTCATAGAATCATACTAACTACCTATGTGCTACCCAAAAAAGTGAAAATAAATAAATAAAAAGAAAAACGCTCGACGCGCATTTCGGCGTGTATTCACGCCGAAACGCGCGTCGAGCGTTTTTCTTTTTATTTATTTATTTTCACTTTTTTGGGTAGCACATAGGTAGTTAGTATGATTCTATGAGTTAGTTAGTATTTTAGTTATTTTGGTTTTTCAGGCAGGCCCTTTTCAGCTCCTTTTTTTGGGCTTTATATGTAAGGGTTTTCATTAGGACCCTACTGCCCACAAGATTTGAGCCTGCTTGTGAGAGAAGGGGGGGGATTTTTTTCTCTTTTTTTTTTTTCTCTCTCTTTGGATTGGTTAGTCTCAAGTATTGCCTGCTTTTGCAAGCTGTGGGTGGTTTAGGGTGGAGTAGGGGTTACCTTGTCTCTGATTTTGTTTCTCTACCCCTTTCATCCCTTTTGCCCATTATTATATGGCATCCTTCCTTTCCTTTCTCCCTCTCTTTTATTATTCCATTTACTTCTAAATACTAATTTCCCTTTTTTTCTGTACCAGAGCTACTTCTCTTGGGATCCCCCTGTTTCAGGGGTCTCCCTTACTCTAATACAATTCTATGTAAATCAATAAACTACTTATAAAAAGTGAAAAATAAAAATTACTGCACTTATAAATACTATTACAACAATAATCACATCTCTCTTAGGGGGAAAAAGTATAACTCATACTGGTACAATGTTAATACCTTATCTTCAATAACCAATTACATTGATTTGGCCAATATAAAAATAAGAATAAATAAGTATTCTTAGTAATATTCATAAAAAATCATCCCAAAAGTCAATATTCAGGCCTTGTGGTTGAAGAGTATTTAAATGAAAAATCCATTGCATTTCTAATCTTCCTAAGCTTTTTATTATGTCTCCCCCAATCCAATTACCTAGCATTTTTTCTGAATGCCCATGAATTGTAATCCTTTGGGGTCCCCATCATGTGTGGTTGGAAACACTGTGTCCCGCACATTTCTTTCATATATTGCGGACATGTTCTTCTATACATGTATGAAGACAACGTTTAGTGCTTCCAACGTATTTTAAGCCGCATGGGCAGGTTTATGAGTAAATTGCATTTGCAGTATCATGTCATCAAATTCTTTATATCGTAGCTCTTCGCATCCTGTGTGTCCTTAAAATTCACGATATGCCTTTTCTTACTCTATGTGTTTTTACAGGCCAGACGCCCTGCAACCAAAGAAACCTTTTTCATTATTTAGAAAACTTTTCTTTTGTTCTTTCCTAATATGGTTCTTTACTAGAGTGCTTTTCATACTTGGTGCACCCCTAAAATGTATATTGATCTATCTGGTAAAATGTTAAGAAGTGCTGGGTCATGTCATAAAATTGGCCAATATTTATTTACAATTCATTTTAATTGCAAACTATTTCGGTTATAATTGCAAATAATGGGAATATCATTTTCTACCTCTGGCACTTGCTGCTTTTAATCTTTATTTTTATTACTATTAAGTGCCTGTTAGTAACTCCTTTCTAAATCCATTATCTCATAGCCTATGGCTATGAAATATTTTTTTTTAATTTAGAAGCCTGTCACATCTGTTTGAAAAGATTTAAGATAATCCCTTAAATTACGGTGGGGCAAACAAAGCACAAATGCTAGATTTTGATTTAGTTAAAAGTTGGACAAGTGCCAAAAGGTGTTAAAGTCAGCATTGATAAAAGAGTTAAAAAAATAGCCCAAAATACCAATATACCTGCATGTGTAAAATAATCTAAACAATTTTTTTTTTTTTTTTTTAAAGAGACCAAAGACATTGCAATTGTAGATACAAAACACTTAAAATCTAACTGACATGGAATACATTTCACTTGTATAATCATGTAAAATGATCTGGTAGGGAACCTGTATAGAATGAATTATAAAGAAAACACATTGTGCTACATTATACTGTCCAGAAAATGTATCAAAAGAGCTAACACCATTATCAGGCAGTGTATAAGACTTCAGATATATATATAATTTTTTCATAATTGATCCTTGGAAAAAAAAAGTGAAATCAAAGGACCATTCACTTGTTCAATCATGCCACCCCCACCCCAATTTATTATGTTTATATTTAAATTACACTATCAAAGAAATAGTATTTGCCCTTAATAAGTATGCACACTTTGGAACACCCTGCATCTCTGCCAGAACAATGTATTAGTGCCACTGAAATGATGATGTGGCAGAGGAGGTATTGTAAATTAAAGCTGGAGACAATTTTTGGATTGGAAAATAAGAAAGTATGTGCGTCTGTCTTCAGGATAAATTACAGGTATTAAAAAAAATAAACAAGAGAACACATAAGTGTTCTTGTTTGATTCTACTGTCTGTTTTTTTTTTAGCTTGATAAATCTAAGATAAGGGACGAACTCTGTTAGAAATATGTTTGGAGATTTTTCCACAGACGTGTGGTAGCAATTTGGAGGGACCATTTATATTGAAATGGTCTTCTGAAATTGCAATATAGCACAAAGAGTGCCTTCCCTGTAAATTATATTATACATCTTCACTACCTTACAGTTTTGAACACACAAGCAAAATTTAAAACTACCAGTAACAATTCCATATTTGTAAAATTATTATAAATTATAGATAAATTCCTTTTTGTGTTTTACAGTATTTGGACACCTTTAGATTGAAATGGCATAATTGTATTTTCTTTAACTTGTAAGATCTAAATTAGTATTTATTGCAACTAAAGTAATTAACTTTGATTACATTTAATTTCTAAAATCCATTATTTAATGTTGACAGCTTTAATTTGTCAGAACATTTTCCCATTATTTTAAAATTAAAAGTAGAGTTAAATAAAAGCAAATTGAGTTTTAACAGACATTGTAATCTTATCAATGGTAATAAACTTAGCGCCTTATTTGATTTTGTCAGGTTTTAGGTTAGAAGAAAATGTTAATCATGTACTTTTATATAAGTTTCACATTAACCCTATTATATTAATATGAATCTTAATATAATCGAATTAAAGGACCACTCTAGACACCCAGACCACTTCAGCTTAATGAAGTGGTCTGGGTGCCAGGTCCCTCTAGGCTTAACCCTTTTTTTTTTATAAACATAGCAGTTTCAGAGAAACTGCTATGTTTATAAATGGGTTAATCCAGCCTCTAAAGCCTCTAGTGGCTGTCTCATTGACAGCCGCTAGAGGCGTTTGCGTGCTTCTCACTGTGAAAATCACGGTGAGAAGACGCCAGCGTCCATAGGAAAGCATTATGAATGCTTTCCTATGAGACTGGCTGAATGCGCGCGCAGCTCCTGCCGCGCATGCGCATTCAGCCGAAGAGGAGGATTGGAGGAGGAGAGCTCCCAGCCCGGCGCTGGAAAAAACGTAAGTTTAACCCCTTTCCTTGCCATCCAGCCCGGCGGGAGTGAGACCCTGAGGGTGGGGGCACCCTCAGGGCACTATAGTGCCGGGAAAACAAGTATGTTTTCTGGCACTATAGTGGTCCTTTTATAATGTCTCATTTGTAACACAATCTGCATTCACAGACTGTATAAAGCAACAAATCAATGAACAAAAAGATAGTTATAGTAAACTAGCTAATTTCCTGTTAAGCACACTGCAGGGAATTAGCAATAAGGAAAGAGAATCCTCCACCATTTTACAATGTGTACATGTAAGAGTGACCATTTCCCACCAAGGACTATATTCAGTTTCACATTTATTAATAGGCACATTGACCCACAGCACTCCCTCATCATACTTGTATACGGGCCAGTTTAGCATGTAAGCTGTCATTTTTATTTATTATTTTTTTTAAACCAGACTAATCAGGAGGCCCTTTTTACTCCATCAATATTACCTTGCAACAATGGGCCGTGTTAAAGGGGGACTGACACTTCCCACAATTCCTTTTTTTTTTTTTTTAATCTGATTTTTATTTGTTCATGCTTATATATACAACCCCGAGATTCGCAGATCTCTGAAGAAATAGGAAGTTCAAAAACAATTAAGTGGTGTATTCGGGATTCCCACGATTCTTAACATTTTATTTGTGACTGGTGACAGCTAATGTTAATTTTAGGTTAAAAAAAAAGAGCCTAACTGAGAAAACCTCTGCAGTTTTTCTCAGCTTTTCTGACTTTGTTTTGGTTTGATAATGTTTTCTGAACTTTGGCTGGTATTACATCTTTGTCAAATCCGAAAATGTCTTAAGTGTCGTCTGCTAGTAATGCCCCAAAGTTAAAAATTGTTGACCCCTTAAAACCAAACTTTCATCATCTACATCAGGCGTTCTCAACGATAAACCCAGTCCTCAGGACCCCCTACCAGTCCAGGGTTTAGGGATTACCTGGGTGTGTCTCAGGTGTTTAGAAAAAGAAGAAAAAAAACACCTTAGAGTCTAAGGTGTTTTCTTTCCCTTGTTCTAAACACCTGAGACACACCCAGGTAATCCCCAAATCCTGGACTGGTAGGGGGTCCTGAGGACTGGGTTGAGAACCCCTGATCTACATTAATCACGCTCTATTCATGCTAGATATGCTGACATCGTGGGGTTAAAACAGTAATTATCCTGATTTACATCACGATAATAAGTGACTTGTAAAATAGAAAAAAAGTCACAAGGAAAAAAAAAAGCTTTTGGCTGTTGGTGGAACCTCAGTCCGTGCAATAAAGGTAAACATGGGTCCTCACTATCTGGTATTTATTAACCTGTTGTGTTCAAAATTAACTGATATTTGCGTGTATTGGTTTAAGCATGTACTATGCAGATGCTTTCTGTATTGTGGATATGTATGTATTGTATTTGCACTTCAACATAGTTAGATTAGTGTAACAGTGTTGTTGATTTGTACTTTATTTGATCAAACAGGAAGCGTGTAGATGTTTTCTTCATCAGATGTGGAGAGGTGTATGCAGTGTTTGTTCTTATCATGCCCTTTAAGTTTGATACTTTTTGAGGTATTAATTGGTTGATAAATGATTTATCATGTCCTTTTGCTTGTGGAATTTAGTAAGGGAAAAATTGCTCAATTAATCATTTGATAAATCGTAATCTGAAGTGATGATGATCAATTAAGCGTGACTGCTTAGTGATTAACATAAAGTATAGGGACTATTTTGGCTAAACTGTCAGACGTGTTTTCAAAGAACATTAGGCGTTTGATTATGACCAAGCCAACCTGGTCAATTGCTCATTGGTATTTGTTAAGCGATTGTGACTGTGACTG